AACATGTATGACTGGGGATATGGCCGCATCAGCCATCACTTTGGGTTTCGATGCTTCGAGGCATGGCTCCTTGTTCTTAAGAGATGATTGGTGGACGACCCAGCTGCGACCTGAGACTGATGTCATGGAGGTCTTCCACTATGGAAGATCTCTATTTTATATGGGAAATGAATGGGATATTAATGGGATAATTAATGGTATTTGAATGGGATTTATAGTGATTTTTCATGGGGTTATATTTTGTGATTCAATGGGATATTAATGGGATATACCATCTGGTAAACTACCATAGCTGTGGAAAATCACCATCTTCAATTTTTCAATAGGTGAATCAACTATAACTGGACCATTTTCGCTATGTTGGTTTACCAGAGGGTATGGTTTCGAAAGAAATTCTGCTGATCCGCAATAAGACCTACACACGTGGCTGCTGCTAGTCAGTTCGATGATGTCGTTCCTTCTTGAATTTGGACTCAAAAGATTGAAGAATGGTCAAACAACCAAGAACTCCTAGACTGTCGTGTGAAGAGGCTGATGCTGATATAGCAAGATTCTGACCCATGCTGGAATGGATGTTGTTTTGTTATGTTGCGTGAATGGCGTAGATTATATACATGCATATGCTTGTGGGAAGTTGTCCTGGAAGTCCTAGTTTTTCATGGAAAACCCTGGTTTCGCAGGTCCTTTGAGCGAGGTGGCTCTACGGACAATGCTGCAAGGAATTATTTGCAGCCTCTTTGATGGCAAGAGATATGGGCCATGGTAAAAACCCCTCTTGGTTGATGAGTTCGGGGATTACACGAACCATTTTTGAGGAGAATCACAATCCATGCGGGGAAACCCTGCTCTTAACCAACCAGGATAGTTATAAAGGAAGGACACTGGATTTTGAACAACGCTCATGTCATATGATTTGTTTTCACATGAAAGGGGGTGGTTCTCAGTCCAGTCATGTACGTACACCTAGCAGGAGGAATCCCATTCCATTCGGCGGGATGAGCATATCAGCCACAAAAAAACATGTTTTGACCACGTTGCATATGGTGTACTGTACGTACAGGACAATATGACAATATCATACAATAATATATACAATATGTATATATACTACTGATCTACTGTATGTATTTGTATGTGCCTTAATTTCGGAAACAGAACAAACAGATGTATGAAGTAGCCTCCAGTAAACTAACACAGATGGAAAATGGAGGATTTCGTTCGATGACTTATCAGCTGCGCCCTGTGAGGTTTCGGCGCGTGGGCCCATCGCAGACTTTGCACTTTGACACCAACGAGCCAAATGACGATCTGGCAAGTTTGTCAGGGTCGGAGCATGTTCCACACCTGGGAAATGCAATGATATGGATAGATGGATGAATGGATGGATGGGTGGGTGGATTGGTGGAGAGATGGAGAGATATAAAGAGATAAAAAGATACTGCAAAATGAACAAAGATGGAAAGATTGAAGGATAGGATAGACAGAGAAAGATTGTCACATATCCCTATGCACATAAGAGCAAGCGACAAAATGAGCGGAAGACTAAAGTAGTACGGAGTCAACTTGGCATGTTCAAATTTGTGCGAAAACCCTCAAAACCGATAGGGGATCACCCACTTTGGCCTTCCATTGCGAGTAGGGTTTTGTTTGTGGAGGTGGTGTCACAGTGTCAAGTTTTACGAGGAGAATGAGGATAGACACCGTGGTATTTGTTTTGTTTTTGGGGGTGATTTTGTTGAGAGAATGTCACATGCAATCGTCATCCAAGCGATGTCAGACCTAGGTTGAGTGATAACCCTTTGATACTGCCTCAAACTCGGTTGATTGGTGATTAGGGGATCACAATGTGGGACTTGTTTGGTTACAAAGAAATACAGATAGAAGAATTCAAGAACTCAAACCGGTATATTACTTAAACATACTTCAACACAAAAACAACAATCGCCGAATGATATTTTAGAATTAGAAGAATTGAAGAACACCCCACAGCACTTGTCATCAACCCCCCATCTATTTGTTGTCATCTCAGTGAAGAATCAACCCCCCAATTGAAGAATACAATGCAGTACCCATCCATTGGCTAAAACCCATCCATCAGATACCACCCCCCAATTGAAGAATGTTATATAAGTTGTATAATCATTAATCATTACTCATCTACTTCATACTCATGCGTTCTTCATCAAGATTATCACAATTAAGACTGGCAGGCCGCTGCTGCCATCGTCACCTGCGGTGGTCTATGTTGGAAGCTCAGGTCTCGAGGTGGTTCGCAGTCGTTTATATAGTTCAGAGCCGTTCCAAGTGGTGTTCGATGGGTTGAATTTTTATGGGTGTTTATTTGGGAATATTGTTGCAATTACTGTATACTAAAATATTTACAGAAAAAACACTTTATCTCTGGGTTGTATGGAATTTATTGGAGATATGGGATATCATTGGATAATGAATGATGATAATGGAACATGTAATTGGATAGCATGCGATGAAAAATCAAGGAATATGATATTAGGGTGTGTCTGACAATGGGAAATACCTCCAAATGAGTATTTCCATGGGAAACTTGACGACACACCATGAAATTTGGGGGTCTGCTATTTTCAGTTAAACGTTTATGCCAACTCCCCACACAATAGTGGCTTAGTAAGCCGCTGGTGGTGGGTTGACATGGGTTGACAGTGGCTAACCCTTCAACAAGGCCTTAATTGTTTTGGGGGTGACCTTTTTGGGGCATCCTTAGGTTTCTATGATTCAAGTCCATGTTAACCCAGAATAAGCCACCAGTTTAACTAACGGGGTACGCATTTCAATGGTAGTTTGCAATGCTCTTAGTGGGAGTAACACCTTTAATGAATCAACCGAGTTTATCAATCTGGGGTAGGCTTGTCATCATGAAAGCCCGGATCGTCTACCGCTTTGTGGCAGTGGCATTGAAGCAGTCTCAACAGCAGCTCACTTTTATTGGAATCGCCTAGATGCTAAAGGTCGGCGCCATCACAGATTGCTTCCCATTTGGATGACCCAAACCGACACAAGGCCCTGGTTTGAACAACGTCATCCGCGAGATTGTTCAGCTGCTCTTCGCGTGCCCTGATGAAGATCCCTGGATCCTGCGATCCCAAAGTGATGCTGCATTGTATATATATATATATATATTTTTTAGATGTATATAATTAGATATACATTATTATGATTTATTATGATTATTTTTTGATTATTGTTAATATTTTTTATAATTAGGTGTCAAAATTAATTATAACTATGTGTAAAATTATATATTTGGCTTTATATATATAACACTGTATGTGTGTGTAATCCCAATCAACTAGTCACCTCCTAGGCATAAAACATCATAAAACTCAACAAAAAGCGCCAATGTTTTTGGTAGTCAGAACATGTTGCCTTGCCACATTTCTATCTGATGAGTTTTTGGCTGCTGCAGGTACGGCATGAAGAAAGTCTATGGCATCATCGGCGGCTACAAGGGCTGTGTTCTGGATGATCAATGGGCTGCTTGGCGACGAACATCTGGATAAAATGAGGTGTGGCATTCGAATGGAGGTAAATAATCGCAAAAATAATTATACCGTTATACCCTCTCTCTGGTAATTTAACAGATTTCAACAGTGCGCCATGGACACACCATTTTTGAGAGGTACACGATCGTACTAAATAGGCCATTTTCCATAGCTATGTAACTATGTAACAAATGACTAGAGAGTATCCTGTCATGTCCTGTCATATCCTGCTAAAAATATGTTTGTTTGATCTTGCTGTGAGGTACTGTACTTTTGGCATAGTTCGTCTGTGTAATGATTAATGTGACCACGAACAGGTTGGGATGGCTTGGTTTGGGTGTTTGGCGATGGTTCATGTTGAAACCTATGTTACCATACTTGGGGGGATGAACCATAAACAACTGGAATTTGGCCGCCAGGGTGATTGGGTTATATTGGATTTTGACCCTAGGGCTATTTTGGGTCGCCAATTAGATTCCTGATGACCCATGATGTTTCAACACCTGCGGGAGTGGGAATGCCTGCGGCCTGCAATGAATTCCGCAACGCTAAGCACCGAGATGATGGGAAAATGCCACAGATATCCACTGATACCTTCTGGCAATCTAACATAGCCATGGAAAATTGCCATGTTGAATAGGCAAATCATCATAATCATCTGTTCTATCTACTTTCAAGGCTTTTCGGGTATGTAAAAGTATTAGACGAGGGTAGCAAAACTTATCATTCCTGGGGGGTCCAGACAGCAGCCTGGGAAGTGCATATGGCAAGGTTCAGCTGACACCTGACAACGTTGGGGGCACCGAGGATCAGACCTGTTCCCACTGTGGCATTGCTGGACCAACTGATGCGGTGAATGTAAACGTGTTCATTGGATATCTTCGTTCAGGGGAAGTATGTGAGCGAGAGCAAGGGAGAGTGTGAGAGAGAGAGAGGGCAAAAGTAGTATACAATAATATACATGTATAGAATTGTATAGATATATAATGATATATTTAGTTGTTTCAATTTAGGAAAAGTATCATGAATCCATCTTGGGCCAGGTTCAGTATTCAGACATATTAAAAGAGCGAGCTGAACGGATCGCATGCCTGCGCAAAGGTGGAGAATATCCATAAGTTGGGAGGCAGCATCTTGGTCTCTGACCGTGGCAACCCTCCACACTCAGAGATTGCGAAGGCCAGCAGATCCGGTCCAGTGACTGAAACGTTCGGATGACATGATCAGTATTGGACATCCAACATGTTAGCCCAATTTGACTTTACCGTCGTGTTAGATTCTGACGTGCAGCACGAACAAGCCGTCATGAATTTGCCGTTGCTCAAACTGATGGTTCAAGCGCACTCGTCAAAGTTGGGCAGCAGTATTGAATCATCATGGGCGTCATTTCCTCATTTCCGCCATCAGCTCAACACAGGAAGGTGACACTAAGGGGTCCTCAGCAGCGTTTTGTTGCGTAGAAATCGTGAAATCGTTGTTGCCATGCTGCCGAATTGTCCGGCTTGTCGCTAGCTCAGCTGCGTTGCTGTGACATGCTGCAATGGATGACTTAGGCATGTGAATCATGAACCGTTGGAGATTTGTGGGCTGAAGGCACCTTTGTTTGATCATGGACTCTTGACTCACATATCATATAATCTTGATTAATCTTGCCGAGTTGCCCCACAGGGTCTTTGGGACACCGTTGGTTGTGCTGCAGTCGATGTCTGTGGCGAAAAAATATGGACTTGACATGACTTGACATGGCGCGATTCCCAAAAGCAGAGGGTGGCCCGGATAGATCCAGTTGCTTACTTTTATTATTGCTATCATAAATTTATTTATGTATGTTTATTTCATTTTTAAATTTAGATACTGGATCATAGTGGTATTTTTACATCATATTTCTATCATATAGATGGACCTCCGGCGACCGTTTGGAGAGCCGAGGTACCAAGATGTCCAACTCAGCGGTGGGATTGACGCCAGGCGGGTTTTTTTCATGCACCAGCAACGTGTTTCCCAACATTTTTGAATCATGAGAATTACCCTCTGGTAAACTAACATAGTTATTGAAAATCACCATGTTTAATGGGAAAATCCACTATAAATGGTGATTTTCAATAGCTATGTTAAATTACCAGAGGGTATGAGATGATGAAGACTTCTACTAGATTCACTAGATCCAAGATTATCCAAGATGATCCAAGGGTATGGCGAATATATGTGAATTTGATCTTGTGACCTTTTCTGGGGTGTTTAAGGGATGTTTATCTCCTCTTAAAAAGGGGATGTTTCATGCCGAGGTGAGTTCCAGGACTCCATTGAGAAGGTTTTTGAGACTTTCAAAGCGGAGTGGCTTGGAAACGTCCAATTCATCGACAGTTTTGCCATGTTTTTCCCATGGAGGACTTTACATTGCCTTGTTTGACTTGAGGAGACTTACAAGATGTAAGAGACTATGAAAATCCACCAGAGATTGGTAGCCGCTGTGGCATGTTGGTGGTCGACGTGTCGTGCTTCACTGAGTCCTTCGATGTTTTCTTTACGGCTTTGACTTGGTCACCTTTTGCGGAAAAGTCAAAGATTCGAGTCAAACTACACAATTTAAATCAATTTAACCTATATTGGACATAGATCCAGGCAGACCAAAAGGTCCGGCAAAAAACAAAAAGATGATGATACATCTGGGTAAATTATAACGACCTCACTGCGACCTCACTGGGAATCATGGTTAATAAGGGAAATCATCCCCAAATGGCCTTAATTCAGGTTAGTGAAATATTGTAATTTGCCCAGATACATGTGCCCCACGTTCCGCGCAATCTTCGGAGATCAGCCATGTCTTCGCAGCTAAAGCGGGTGCCCAATGGCATCCCAATGGCCGATCTCAGGATTTTTCATCTACACAAAGCTTCATATGCCGATGTGATGAGAGAGAGAGATTCCTTGAGGCCCCGGACGGGATGGGACGGGTCTCCATGATCTTTCGGGGATGGGATGGAATGAATGATATGAATTTTCCAATGAAATTCTAGTCAATCATGATCTGGAATATAATCTGATTAGATATTATAATCTGATTAGTCAGAATAATTAATGATATATTCCATAATTAGATTGAATATACATCATCGATAGTCATATTATATGTATAGTTAACTAGTTAGGTGTATATCTATATGTTCTTTTTATGCATGTGTTTCGAAAATGATGTTTGACAAGATAAATCATAATTAGTCAATAGTCATATGAAAATTCATGAAATACGCATATATATATATTATTATTGTTATTATTATTATTATTATTATTATTATTCACCCCGCTTCGCGTGGGGTGGCCGCCCACACCGCAGGTTTATTTCGGTCAGTGAGAGGGGCTAAGGGTGGTTTTCCCCCGTGGGGGCTCCCCAAGCTAAGACTTTTCACTTTCCCCCGTGGGGGCTCCCCAAGCTAGGGAATTTTCACTTTTCCCCCCCGTGGGGGCTCCCCAAGCTAGGGAATTTTCACTTTTCCCCCCCGTGGGGGCTCCCCAAGCTAGGGAATTTTCACTTTTCCCCCCCGTGGGGGCTCCCCAAGCTAGGGAATTTTCACTTTCCCCCCCCGTGGGGGCTCCCCAAGCTAGGGAATTTTCACTTTTCCCCCCCGTGGGGGCTCCCCAAGCTAGGGAATTTTCACTTTTCCCCCCCGTGGGGGCTCCCCAAGCTAGGGAATTTTCACTTTTCCCCCCCGTGGGGGCTCCCCAAGCTAGGGAATTTTCATGAATTTTCACTTTTCCCCCCCGTGGGGGCTTCCCAAGCTAGGGAATTTTCACTTTTCCCCGCCGTGACAGCTTCCCAAGCTATGGAATTTTCACTTTTCCCTCCCTTGGAGGCTCTCCAAGCTGCGGAGTTTCAAATAGCTAGACAACGACGCCTAGATAGTCCCCCCAAATCCCGTGTTCTTTGAATGTGTTCCCATGTTTTTGCCATGGTTTCCTTCAAAGCACGGTACTTTACACTTTTGTCGCCATAAAACCGGTCGAAAACATCATGTTCGACAATGCTTCCAATTCCCTTATCTCCCCAACCGTTGAAAATACCGCTATTTACAGTGTTTTCTTCAATTTTTCCATGTTCCAATGCCGGTAGCCAACTCCAACATATATATAAGAAATCCTTCCAAAACATTGTTTTTGACAGTGTTTTTCCAATGTTTCCAGTCAAACAGACGGTAATTTACACGTTTTTTGCCATAAAGGCAGTAAATCCTTCCAAAACATTGCTTTTGACAGTGTTTTTGTAATGTTTCCAGTCAAGCATACGGTAATTTACACGTTTTTTGCTATAACGTCAGTCCAAAACACTTGTTTTTGCAGTGTTTTCAATGCTCTGGCATCCAAAAACCCTGCAAAATCTTGCTATGTACAATGTTTTTTTCATTTTTGGCCGTTTTTCCATTGCCGGAAAGCTACCAAAATGACCCAAAATTCCATTTCAATACCCTCTTGCGCTCAGACACCCAAAAATCCTCGAAAAATGTCGAAAACACCACCGTATTCTGGTCTCGGTGCGAAACCGTTTTTGGGCCCCCCCCCAGCTAAAGCTGATATAGCGACTGCTATATTAACAAATGTCATTGAGCATTTAGTGTTGCTGTTTTGCCCCCCAATAAGCACGCCTTCACCGCCAAAGCGGTGTGGGCGGATTTATAATTATATCCATATGTCAGCTTCTGCTGAGCTCTCTCAGACGGCGATGGAATAGATAGGTCGATCGATAGATCGATAGATAGACAAAATGGACAGATAGATGGATAGATGGATAGATAATGATAGATGGACGAATTCATTGTGTGATTGATTGATTTATTGATTGATTTGTTTGATTTATTGTCGATAGATGTCGAAAGATAGATATAGATAGAGATAGGGGTATACCCTATGTGTCCTGCGTCCTGTTCTTGATTTACTTTGGTGTTTTTTCCTCACCACATCCACTTCGTCCACTTCGTGACGCAGGCGAGAGCTGGATCAGATCGCTTTCGAAAAGTTGGCCCAGCGGGAGCTTAAGCGGAACCATCGGGACCAGGACGTCATAGGGGGACGAATGGCTGAGGATGGCTGAGGAATGAATACTTGATATTCTATTCTATGGATATACCCACTGGTAAATTAACATAGACCCTGAAAATCACCCATTTTTAGAGGAAACTAATCTTTCAACCCCTACCTGGCAGGGTCTATGTTAATTTACTGGAGGGTAATATGGAGATAATTTTGGTGATTTAAATAAATAATGGGATCATGAATGAGATAAATGGAGGTTGAACGGGATTTTGTTGGGGGGGTCCCTTTAGTTCGATGATTTTGTCCCAGCTATAAACCTCCATGTTTGATGGGGATTACTGGAGGGTAATATATCAGGGTACAGGAATTTATGGTAATTACCCTCTGGTAATTTAACATAGCTATGGAAAATGGCCATTTATAGTGGATTTTATTGATAATTATGGGTAAATCCGTGAAAATCCAGGGGACTTCGCAAAGTTGAAGTCACAAAAATACACAAAACCAAGGGCTTGTGATGGGGATAGAACTCACCAAGGATATCTCTGCACGATCGTCCCCAAAGTGCCGAAGTTCTGATTTGGGAATGATAGGGTAGATTTACAAAAACCACACCACAAATGATCAAGAGCTGGTTTGACTGGCTTGGAAAGAAATAAGAAAAGTTCATTACTGTAGTTTTTTGTCTGGGTGGTGCTTCGACATGCGTTCTATTTCCTATCCTGGAATGATAATACCGATTGACTTTCAGATTTGGGGGATGGTAAGGTTGTCCCCCGTTTCGACCCATCCCCAACATGCTCATAGTTCATCCCAGTATATAAATGGCTCGAATCAAAACGAACCAAGGTTATTTCACCATATTTCACCGCTTGAATTTGCGATATAATGCACTGAATAGATGTTTCATTCCAATGATGCACATAAGTACAGCATCATAAATATACGTATATATATAATCGTAACCAAACACACACACACATATATATATATATACATGTACATATTTTCCATACAGATAAAGATCTATGAATATCTATGAATGGTTTCTGGATCCTTCAATTTTCCACCCATTCGAAGGAGACGATCTCCTTGCCCGTCATGGAGGCTCAGAAGGACCACGTCATCCTCGAGGCCCTGGCGGATGGCGGGATCGAGGTGGAAGAGCCTGAACCGTCGGAGAAGGTCCCGTGGATGGTGGCTGGTGGCTGGTTTTTTTTCCGGATTTTTTTGTATCGGCAAAGCGTGAGAAGTTGAGGGTTGATTTGCAAAATGTCGAATATATGTCGAATTTTGCCTGAAATAGCTATGAAATTGGAGTATAGCCTAGTTTTCACACACACACACACCTGGCTCTGGTGCATTTTCTGGAGATGGAATTAGTATGGAAATAAGTGGACATCTTGTCAAATGGATACACATTGGTCATTGGAAGCTGATGTTCAGGATCTAAAAATGGAAACAGATATTGATATATAATGATATATATTTTTTGGATGATATTCTACGGATTTAAACAAAAAAAAAGTTACATCTTCGTTTTCTTTCGTATGTTCTCTGCCGTCCTGGTCAGGCTTCATGGCAAGCTTTGTCTGAAAGGTCCCCCCGAAAAAAAAAAAACTCCCCAGATGACTGGGCAAGGTTCGTAGCATTTTTATCTACCCTCTGGTTATTTAACATAGCCATGGTATAGATGGCCCGTAGAAATAGATGGTTTACCGGTTTAATCCGGTTTACCTATTAATAGCATGGTGATTTTCCATGGCTATGTAAGAAATAACCAGATGGTAATGTTGTGTTAAACAAATGACAGTTTGCCATGGAAAATCACCATGGATCACCATGGATCACCATGGTTTCACATCTGAGGTGTTGGAGAACTGGAGCTCCATAGTGCAAGGGGTCACCCGGCGATGATTGGGAGGGGGAGCTTTATGGTGCCTTGGGAGGTGTAGAAGTTAATATCAGTTTCAATATAGTTTAGATATGTCAATTCAATATTGTCTCTATATATATATATACACATGCACGCATGCATCTATACATATATATATATATAATTAAATATGTATGTATGATCATAATTGATCATATGCATATGGTATGCATATGATCATATGATCATACACATAATATCAATACCGGATGTAGAACTGGCCTCGTGATGGTCATGGTCCGACGCTCCGAGGCAGCAATGAGCATCAGTATGAGCAGGAAGGTGCAGAAGCAGCTTGTCGTTGGTGGGGATACAGATTCAGCAGAGCCAGCTCCGACCCAAACTTCGGATTTCTATGGATTCCTATGGATTTTAATGGGTTTCTATGGATTCCTATGGATTTCTATGGGTTTCTATGGATTCCTATGGATTTCTATGGATTTCTATGGATTCCTATGGATTTCTATGGGTTTCTTCAGTCCCAGCTTGATCGCTGTCTTTAAGGTCCAAGGTCACATTGGCCCTGAAAGAGTTGTGGGTGGCAAAGCAGTCTGCTCAACAGGACGGGCCCTTGGGAGACAGTGGGCCATGGTTTGGACTGATGGCGGAGTTTCCGTGTGGCGCTGACTGTGTACATGTGTGATATACATGTATTTAGATGTATATATATATATATTTATATTGAGATCTATTTATATGCATATTTGGACTTAGATGTATGTACATGTATTTAAATGTATTTGATACATGTATACATATACATATATATATATATATCCGTGTGTTTATTGCAAATGTGTTTGTGTGTGTGTGTTTTTGAAATTGGTCGCACACGGGATATACATCGAATTATACATAGTTACAGTATATAGATATCAGGTTCCTTAGTGGCCGAAATGGCATTTGCGTAATGTTTGCTTGTTTACACAGCACTTCCCTGCAAAAGAACGTGCTAATCAGCTACAGAAGCTGTCTCGAAGTCAACGTCAGTGCTAAGAATTGTTTGCTGTAGAGGACTTTGCCCAGAGTTAGACTTGTAACTTCCAAGGTGTGAGAGGCAATTCAGTGGCCGTATGGTGTCAGTGTAAGTCATGGACTGGAACAAATATTGAACAAATGAGATAGTAATACCATGTAATACCTTAATATATATGGTATCCATTGGCCACTAAATGAGACAAAGGAAAAATCTGTAATTTTGCCGCATCCCCAAAGGTTCATCCAATGTTTTTCCTCCGTGTGCAATCCTGGGCCCCCGCCGTTCGCCGCGACCCTGGCTGACGTCCGGTGGCATGAACGCCCACCGGATAGTCGCCTCCCGCGGTGACCGGTGTGGCTGTACATAGCCTTCCCCAATGGCAAAGTCCATTGGCGCGTGAGACGCAGAGTGGGTCATGCAGCAGGAGTGTTAGTGAGTAAAAAAAAAAAAAAAAAAATCCTGGGCTAGTTCGCCTTGGGGATGTGGCTCGGTCCAGCTCGGTGGATAGAGTTGTGCCCTTTTTTTTCTCAGTTTGAAGGCAGCATGTCCCAGATTTCACACGTTTGAGCATCAATTGCTGAGGGGTTCTTATCCTTGCCAGGTGTCACAGCACTGTTTGTTTTCTTCTGTAGACATATTGACATGTCAAACCTTGGCTATCTCGTTCTACCCTAAGATGCTTCACTTGACAATCGTGATGGCAAGCGGTCGGAGTGAGAGCCTTTTCATTCCACAGTCCTCCAAAGTAGGGGATTTGGCGATTCTGGCTGGGAAGTCTCTCCAACACGGGTTCCTCCGCCTTTTCACTGCAGGGGGGCATGTTCTAGGGGATTCAACGGAATCTCTACAAAAGGCAGGGATTCAAGATGGAGACTACCTCACAGCCGTTCAGCTGCAAGCCAAGCTCACAGCCAACAAGGTGGCCTTTGCTCTATGGTGCTGGGGAGGTGACAGGATCATCACCTGGGGCGATCCGGAGTGTGGTGGTGATAGCTCGACAGTCTCGTCTAATCTCAGGAGCGTTCAGCACGTTCAGGGCAGTGCGTATGCTTTTGCTGCCGTCCTGGCAGATGGATCAGTAGCTACCTGGGGCAACTCAGATTATGGTGGTGACAGTTCTGCAGTCCAAGATCAGCTTCAAAACGTGCAACGGGTTGAGGCCACTGACACTGCATTCGCTGCAATCAGAAAGGATGGAAGTGTTTTTGCATGGGGCAATCCAGTTTTCGGTGGGAACAGCTCTGCAGTCGAACATCAGCTTCAAAACGTTCAGCATGTTCAGGCCACCCAGTCTGCATTTGCTGCGATCCGAAAGGATGGAACTGTTGTTACATGGGGAGACCCAGCTTCTGGTGGTGATAGCTCTGCAGTCCAAGATCAGCTTTGGAATGTTCGACGTGTTCACGCCACCCAGTCTGCATTTGCCGCGATTCGACAGGATGGAACTATCGTTACATGGGGCAATCCAGCTTTTGGTGGCGACAGTTCTGCCGTTCAAGGTCAGCTTGGCAATGCACAAGAAGTTCTTCCCACCATGAGGGCCTTTGTTGCAATTCTCGTAGATGGCTCACTTGTTGCGTGGGGCCATCCACTTGCCAGTGGTGTGAGTCCTACCGGCCAAGAGCTCAAGAGTGTGCAACAGCTTCGCAGCAACCGACATGCGTTCGCTGCAGTCCTGGCCAATGCTTCCCTTGTTGCCTGGGGCAGTCCATATGATGGTGGCGACAGCTCTCAAGTCCAAGATCAGCTTCGGAATGTGCGGGAGGTCCAAAGTACGGCCAATGCCTTCGCTGCCATTTTGGCAGACGGATCGCTGGTCTCGTGGGGAGATCCAAAGTGTGGTGGTGACAGCTCTGCCGTTCAAGAGAAGCTATATGGAGTTCAGCAGCTTCAAGGCACTGAGGGGGCATTTGCAGCTGTTTTGGCAGATGGATCACTTGTGACATGGGGATTTCCAGGCTGTGGTGGTGACAGCTCTAGGGTCCAGGATCAGCTCGTGAGTTGGTAGCATGTGCAAATATTCGGAAGGTCTCCAGCCTCCCCTTTCCAAAGCAGAAGGGGGGGAAAAAATTGATTCCACGGCCGCTTAAAAGATGGTGATACTTATACTGCAGGAGACTCCGTAAAGGTAGAATATCTTCAGAACATATAACTACAAGAGGATTGCTCTGTATCTGTTTGGGGGCTCCTATGACCACTTCATTGATCATCTTTATCAGAAATGTTTCAAGTCTTATATGCCTACATGGATTTGGAAAAATTTGCACCAGGAGGTCCCGGGGACCTCTTGAGCATTGGTCAGAGAATGTTGGATCCCATAGTCTAATTGTTTTTTGCTGGAAATGATCCCTCCAACTCAACCCCCCTCCTTGTCCCCACTGTTGCAGTGTATTTTCCTGGTTCCGGGTTACCAGGCTGGCTTTGCAGCAGCGTCTAAGTTGCGTTTGAATATCACCACGGATTTCAAGCGCCTTGGCTGCGGGTGCATGCGGGCGCCAAGTGTAGCGCCCACACACTTGGAGAATATATCATGATCTTCCATCCAACTAAGCTACTTGGGGTCTCAGTTGGGCTTATTCCTGAGTATAACAATAACATACTATAACTATCTAATAACCTTGATAAGTTGGGATAGACCCCACCTATTCGTGAAACCAAGTCCCTGCCATGAGCCGCTCAGCTTTCCAAGTCGCGATTCAGGACCGGCGACCAGATGCTTGGGACGCCCCTTCTGCAACGCTTCGTGATGCCACTTGGCATCCTCAAGTCGTATTCTTCCCATAGATGGAGCTGGGGAACACCATGGAAAATCCTTAAAATCGTTGGAGAATACTCTTAACATCGACCTGAATAGAAACAGAGTTGAATCCCAGGTTTGGGGTTGAACATGTTGAACGCCAGATGTGATTCAATGATATTCAATGGGAGCGTCCAGTGCACAATGACGCATGTAAATATATACACAATACGCAGATACACATGTATGATCATGCATGTATGTATCTGTGTGTTGGTGTAGTTGTCTATATGTATCATGTGTGAATGATCCGATCATCGGAAGGACATATGATATATGCATATATATATATACATAGAACTCAGTGTTTGATTTGTGGAATTAATTGCATATCTATTTTCATTTCATGTGTTTATATGTGAGCTCACATGCACATATTTATGTAACATGCATATATGGATCTTGCCGCCAAAGTCAACAAAGGAAGACCCTCCTCTGATAGTAGTTGATAGATGTTCCTTTTCCGCATTGCGGTTTTATTTTGATTCAAAATAACATGAAACAAGCATGTGATCTCAGAGATCCATGTCGATTTCTCATATTTCTCCATCTTGAAGTATCATGTAAATATCATTATATATATATATATGTATGCATATATATATATATATATATGGATCTATATGGTGTGTTTGGTGTGGATGTGGTGGGTCCTTCATCCTTTTTCCGGATACGAAAATCTGCAGGAACCCCTACGGAGCCACCCGCTTGGCTTGGGGCGTGCTGGGGGTTGCTATGATCTTCTGGGATCTGGTGGCAACTTGGAGAACTCAGACGACTTGGACGTGGGGAGGGGCCCTAGGGGTCCTGGACTGGGGGAAATCCACCGTTTTTAACAAGGGAAAATGGACCAGGACTTTCCAGGACTCCTAGAAATATCTCAAAATCGTGGCAAGCTGGGAAAACCTGGCAGCTCTGGCAATTGGGTAGTGGTTCAAACGCCCGTGCAATGCCCTTCTAGGGGGATAACTTGTCCAATGACATGTCGTGGTTGGAGTATGTGTCTACGTGCAACAAGCACATGTACTTTCATGGTTATACCAGAAGCCCTTCAGAAGATACAGGCTCCACGAATTGCAAAGATGCGTGAATACAAAGCATGTGTTTGTTGGTTTGTTCATTCCGGTTAGTTACATTCCCCTTGGCCTCGGCCTGACAGTATGCACATATCGTCAGATGATCAATCCGACAGTCTTGCAACACATTGTACTCTCGAGATGGCGATGGAGAGAGAGATTCTTTCGCATACAAAATCTTGGTGTTTCTATATGTTTTACGTGTCCCTTAAAAAAAGATGTTCAAGGCCTATTTATTTTTTGCTACAAAATGCTATAGTTAAAGCATGCTATATCAACCAGCTGTCATCAGCTCAAGGTCATCCCATTAACGGTCTTCAACCTGGGGAGATTCGAAGCCTTCGTCGACATCATGTCGGTGGTGACCTTCATCTACTGGGCCATAGACCTGCCAGGCCGGGATCATCCCCAGGGCTGGTTTTGGCTAAGCGGCTAAGCTGAGTGAGCCAACTCAACACACATAAAAACACATAACATGATAAGCTGGTTGGTGGTTTGGAACATGACTTTTATTTTTCCATATATTGGGAATAATCATCCCAACTGACTTTCATATTTTTCAGAGGGGTAGGTATACCACCAACCTGATGATAAGTGTTATATTTATAAATCCCTGCCACAACTAATTTGGGATCTGACTCATTTGGGGAATTCAGCTTATGAGTTTGGTAGAGGCTGGGATGTTGAAAGTCAATGTTTTTTTTGCATTTTTTGGCGATAAATTTGCATGTCCGATTTGCATTTTTTTTTACATTGGATTTGCAGCATGTTCTAGAAGGGCAATTGTTTTGCATGTTTTTCGCATTTTTTTTGCAAATTTGCAATTTCCGGGCAGAACCTCTGGGAAAGCTTGAAAATACAATAAAACCTAGGAAATTTGCCAAAAAAAATGCAAACAATTTGCAAAAAAAAAAGCAAAACAAGCGAACGCGACTAAAACTCGAAAAAAAACATGTGTTCTGCATTTTGCTTGCAAATTGCTTGCATTTTTTGCAAATTTCCTAGTGTTTTTCTATTTCTCCAGCTTTCCCAGAGGTCCTGCCAGGAAATTGCAAATGTGCGAAAAAATGCAAAAACAAAATGTCCTTCCAGGACATGCTGCAAATCCAACGCGAAAAAAATGCAGAAAAAAAACAAATTCAAAATGCAAAATGAACCCGCCATACAAAAAAATGCAAACCAAAGCTGCAAAAAAAAACAAAAACAAACCTTCCCCAATCCCTGCCAGGGACGCGCTCTCATGAAATTAAGCCCTATAGGGATACTTTTAGAAGATGTGACTGACCAACAAATCATTGGGATAATTGACGATAACATGGTTGAAATCCCCAAACATTGGGATATAGTGGGGATTATATGGGCATAGAACGTCATATCATATATATATATATATAACCAATGATGATCACTGGCTGGTTTGAACTGATTCCTTTCTGTTCCTTTCTGATCTTTCTGCTTGATGATCCCCAATGACCAGACATGAATCTTCAGGGGCTGAAACCACCAATACGAGATCTTATGAGTCAGCATGTTTTTCACCAAGAGCCATTTCGGTAGAGGATCTATGGAGAGGGGAGACCTCCCACAATCCTGGGGACATGGCAGGGTGTCTTGCCAGGTACTTTCCTGGTGGGGGTGGATGTGGACGGAACGTTGGATATGCGGCCGGGGCCAATCGCCAAAAAGCAACGTGGCAGCGATTTGGGCTGCGAGGAGAACCTACCCTAGCAGCTGTTTTCCCAAGGACACTTGTTCTCTACATCATTTTCTACGTGAATTTGCTGACTATGGGATCCTGAAGCTAGCCAGATGGATACCCTTTGCCAAATAAGCATGGCTACCAAACAATCTTTATTAAGAGGAAGACCCATGTATAAAAGCATGCATGTTTGACATATTGGCTTCTGAAAGTTTAAGATCTGTTTTATGGGAGATCTTTGTGGGTCTTGTTCTCTGATAGCTGTACCAGATCGGCAGTGGCATCCAGTTGCCCCTGAGGTACTTGACTGGTTGGTTCTTTCCAGATTTCCTCATCCTGCTGATTGACATTGTGCTTTTCATTATGACTGCGCCCCTCGGCGAAGACAGTATAAGATCGCTTGCAAAGCGCTTGCTCCGCTGAGTGTGTTTTGGAAGAAGGATCCTCAATCTTCCTCAATGCTTCAAATGACAGAATAGTCATAATATGTTTGAAATTGTTCGTCATATGTTCGGATGAAGGACTTGAACAGAGGTTGAGGCCACCAGGTGATGGTTGAGGCCACCTGGTACCTGGACTCCGCAGAAATGGATGGGATCCCAGGGGGGCGAACTCTTAGGGTGGCCTCGGACGCCTCCACACCACAAGCCTTGCGAACTGCGTCCTTGGTCCGGTTGCTACGAGCCCCGGTGGGAAATGGCGATCAAAACCGGGATAAACCCAGGGGTGCTACATTTTTGGGGACGGGTTACGACCTATATTACGAAAATTTGCTGACGATCAACCACACGACGAATAATTTGGGACATTACACATTGCAATAAACTGGGTGTTGAGTCTAATCCTGGGTAGACATTCTGGATCAAAAGGTAGGAAAACCCTGGTCCTTCACTTTTCACATGTTTTCACCTCAAAATAGGTTGTAGGGTTAACCAGTTGCCAACTGGGATGTTATCCAAGTGGCATGGATGATTGAAGTTCTGGAATGGAACTCCACTTCAGTGACTGATAAGTGTACTCAATGTGAACCTCGGACTTATAGACCTTCCCTGATATTTTTCGGGCGAAGTTGGTTCATTTGAGATTGATATTCTGGGTCAAAAACGGTGGACCCTACAGCTATCAGAGTATCGCACTACATGCTATCCGACATAGGATTTAGATGGATTTAGAGGGTCCCGCCATTTCGATCTGGTTGGAAAAGATGGAAAAGGGAGAGAAAGAAAAAACAGCAAGATCCAGCAAGTATATGCAATCTTAGAGTGGGTAAAGTATAGAAGCTGGCCGTGGGGATGTTTTCTGGCGTGAAAGCATTGATCTTTCTGTTTGCTTCCTGCTTGAGTCATGTCTGAGGACTTTTTCGCATCGTGCGTGCCATGGCTTGCAATCAGATGTCAAGAAACCCTGGTGGCTGATGGGTATACGAGGGATTTACAATGTCCTTCGGTTTAATGAGGTTTTTATTAAGTCGAGTAAGATGGTCTCCTCCCTATGGCCTGACCAACAAATACAGCCAGCCTGTTTTCCATTTGTTTTGAAATGTGTTGAATGAATCAGTCAAAATGCTCGTTTGTTTTGCATGTATGTGTGTGTGTGTGTGCGTGTGCATATGTATGTATAAATATGTGCGCGTATGACTATATGATATGTAAATATAGCAAACCCAAGATAGATAGAAAAGTTGGAAACCTTGAAATATGATAGGAACATCAACGAACATCATCTACACCAAGAAGCACATGTTTATCTTTTGTGTGTTACTACATGTTTATATTTATATGTATGTATGTGTACGCATGTGTTTGAATACATATACATGTACGCATCCACATCCACATCTATGTATATGTATATGTGCATGTGTGTGTATCAAGCTGTATCACTAAGACCCCATGAACTTGTACATGATGATATGTGACTATACCACCGTCGTGTTGGTAGACTTCCCAGCTCTTACTGTGCTGAGGTTTGGTGAGGCTCCACAAGGCTGCATCAATCGTCGAGGTGATCATGATGCGGGTGCGATCTGAATACTTGACCTTAGTGGCCAGGGCCCTCAGCGGGTTGGGTCGGGTCCCATTTGTTGTACAAGCTAAAAACCCATAACTGGGGGAAAATCCATATACTCCATAGGTGTAGCTGTTCTGTATCATCTTGAATGTAGCTGCCACATGTTGCCTTTTCAACAGTTCAAGATGATCATCTATCCGGGTGTCGCTTGAATTGGAACTCCATTTCAGGATGTCTTCTGGAGTTTTCTGGGTAGATTTGCCTAAGACTTGAGTACCCAAGATTGCATGTTTGGGAGAAAATGATGATCAACCGCTCAATTCCCAATTTTTGGAAACTGATCATCATCCAGAAACATTTTTGGAAACTGATTTTTGGAAAATGATGATCAACCATCTTCCACGAAACTGCGCCAGTTGAAGATTCTCCGCCAGTCCATGATCATCATCGTCGTGCGACTCGGCTGTCCAAGAAGTTGGGACGGGTCCAGTGAGGCTGTCCCATGGTACCAAAAATGGCTTGGTGTTGAAAGGGGATAGTCATCCCCCCAGAAAAAGAGGGCTTAATAATACCAGGAATCCATGGGAATCCCCTAGTGATGGTGGGATGACCCCATTTTCAATCATTTTCCTCAAAAGCCGCTCAACGTTTGGTGCTTTCTTGAACTGGGGTTTCCACAATACATCCAAAATCAGACCTTTAGATACTTTTAGCATTAAACTAAACCATGGTTTGTGTTTGGGGGTCCCCCATTTTCAGCACGCTTGGTTCGCAAGTGGTTTTCTGCTGGTGGATGAGGAATCACTACATTGCGTGCGCCTGGTTTGCATGCAGCGACAATATCGAAGGGCCAGATACCTGGGTCAATGCGTTCGGCCTCAAGCATGCTGCACCCTGGCAGCACCGGGCAGCAAAGCTGACCTGAAAACGGCAAACGTTCGAAGGGAAACGTTTGGCAAAAGAGAATCCGGGAGATCATCCATCCATATCTTCGATGATGGGCATCTACTTCTGAAAGCGGGATGAGTTCATTCCCTTGAACCTCATAGTTTAGACAATCAATAAATATATATTATATATTATATATATTATATATATTATATATATTATATTATATATATATTATATCGCAATCATATCATTTGATCTTTCACTGCGAACCTGTTCCCATCTCATCGTTCTGAAGCGCATTGGTGAAAAACAATGTTGAGGTCCTGGCCCTGACAGGCCTACAGTTTTTTGGAAATCCGTTGGCGTAATATTCAACATGTGTAACCTATATGTGTTTCCTTCAATTCCATGAGTTAACATTGGTTGAAAATAGATGTTTCAACATGTTTCAACATCTTTGACACCTTTATTGAGAGGCGCTGTGAATCAGAATTTTGCTGGTTCCTTGAGTTCCTATAGTTCCTCGGCCATTTTTGCTGGAGTTTTAAGGGCCCCAATCATCAACCTAGAATTGGGCCCTGGCCAGGACGTGGCCTCGCAGTATTTGGTCAGTTTCCATTGGGCTGGGACCTTGGAGAAATGGTGGGACTTGCTGTGGGACTTGCTGCAGGACTTGCTGGAAAATCTCCCTTTTTAAAGGATGATCCACCAATAAAAAACCTTCGCTGACCGGAGGGATTTCCCATGTTTGATGACCGGAGGGTATTGCAAGGCAGAGAACCGAGGGCATTTTAAGTGGAAAAACTTGGGGGATATGAAGAGCGATAGGAGGCATGAAAGAATGGGATGCCCCCTGTTTCATAGCGATGGAAAATGAAGTGATGATGTTCCATAGCTACCTTAAATTACCAGATGGTACAACATTATGAAGTCGCAGATTTGATGGGATATATCTTCAACACATGTGATGGATTTCCAATTTCTGGTCATTTCAATGGGGAAGATGAGGTTATTGAATATGAGACATTCGTTGGAGTGGGGTGGGCTGTTTGAACAAAGCTGTGTCTAGTCTTAGACAGAACCCGGTTGATGGCCCAAACCAATCCCAGCAAGCACCGGGACTGGTATACCCTTTGGTTCCCTTTGGTAATTAAACCATTTGCCATGGACAATCACCATTTTTAATAGGTATATCATCTATAAAAAGACCATGTTCCATCGCAAACTCTGAAATTACCAGAGGGTAAACGATGTGGAATGAATGTGGGCGATTCGTTGGAACCAAGCAACATGGTGATGTTCAAGCAACTTTTGGCTGCTGGTTTCTGAATTTTGTTCTCATTGTCCCATTGGGGATGATGAATCTTAATACGTTCAAAGGACTGTTCGTTGCGGGTAAGATGAAGGTCGCCATCAAAAATCTGGGGTTTCAGATCTTAGTGGGCAAATGACACATAAATTCCCAAGGGTCGCTTGCTAAGCCTTGCGGCAGGCGGTCACTCAATTTGCGCCAGCGACCAACAATGTGGCACCACAGAATGCCATCGAACGAGCTTTTGCCTCGTTGATTGTCCTTTGTCCCCAGCCATGTTTTTTTTTTTAAGGGGCCTCAGTGACTATCCTACGATGTTAGATTTTGACCCATGGCCATGTTGTCCCAAAAAACAGCCTGGACGCTGGACCCCGAAATCCTGCCACAAAAGGATGGAGAAATATCTTCCTGTCGTTTCTGGTTCTTCTGCTGCACATGTTCCATTCTATTCCGCTTTGATTTCTTCCTGTTTCTTCATGTTTCTCCTGCAAGGTGGCAAACCCAATGACAAACTATCCCCAATAGAGGGTTTTGAAATTGCGTTTCCCCCTAGCAATTTTTCATGGTTCTTACTCCCCTCTTATGGTTGGCGCATTGGATGGTTTATATTGGTCTAGGGCATTGGGTTTACCGGTTTACCATGGTTTACCACATGATTACCATGAATCTTCTGGCGACAGCTCAGGTGATTTATGCCTTCGTGGCCTTTTCTTCCTTCGTGAGTGCGATGACCAACGCCACCAACGAGCTGAGAGCATTCACGCGGCTTGGTCGTAATGCCATGGGGGGATGCCCCAAGTGAAACAGCTATTTTAATAGGGAAGATATGTGGGAGAATGATGATAGACCATTGGTTTTTTGGATGGCTTTGGGTTTTTTAATTTTGAGACAACCCGCGCTGAAAGTACGGCGATGCGGGACGTCGATTTGCAGCATAACGCGCGACATTGGATCATGCACGACATTGCAAGACATTGGGTCATGCAATAGAGTCAATAGAGTCAGTAGGTGATTGATTGCCAGGAAGACACTCGCACTCTGAGAATTTGGTCTGTCTAAAGATGGCCTTTTCCTGGCTCAAGGTGTCCATATCCTTCGATGTAACGTTGGTCGGTCTCAAGGGGATGCCCGGTTTTTACATCCGAAGCGAGGCTAAAAAGTGCACGGCAAGAAGCCCAAATTCGGAAATTCCTGGGTGACAAGAAACTTGGCAAATCTGGGAGATATCTGGAAGATATATGGAGTCGTGGGGAATTATGGGGGTCCCCAAAAACGATTGAAAGGTGCTTTGAGGATGTAGATGATCTTTCCTCCATAATGTCTAGGTGTCCAACGTTCTATCTATTGGGGGGTGCTCTATAATATTCTGGATTTAAACAACAAGAATTGGAGTAACGGGGATGGGGATATAACCAGCCAACTATTTCCAGTCTGAGTAAGGGACGCGCCCTGGCCCAACTCACCGTAGATGATGGTTAGTTTGGGAATCGTCCGAATTTTGACCCTGCAAGAATGCAGCCCACAATATCAGATGCCCTTGAATTATCATGAATTTGCAAAGGTCCCAAGGCATGCCCTCAAAATAAAACCTCCCAGAATTGATCGGATTCTGGCGAGTGTAAGAACTGGCATTGAGATAACCACCCCGGAACACTGGAACACGGATTTTCCAGCCTCCGCAGTTTTGGCCCCCAGCACGCCGCAGCCATGATGTCCTATCTATGTCGCCTCAGCCGTCCGGCGGCGCGAGTGAGGAGCGTTGCCAGCAGCGCCTCACGCTTCGATCAGATGCAGGGCCTGCCATCCTCAGCACAGGATTTTCTGTACCGAGGGAAGCTTGGCAGGTGATGGGTTGGAGGCTACTCGGAAAATCGCTGATCCCGTTGCGGCATGTGATGGTGATTCTTGGAGAGAGTTTCGGTTTTATATAAATAATATAGATTTCTATCGTGTGGTATGGATAGTAGGGCAAGATGCGTGGACTTTATCAATGTTGATGATAAAACTGTCAGACCTTCTTTGAGGCTGCCTCAAACACATATGAAAAACTTGAAGTTGAGGCCATGATGCCATGATGCCATGTGGATGTCCCCAAGCTCGGTGGCTCAGCCACCAAGACTGATCAGCGCCAGTTTGAATGGAAACGAATCGAAAAATGTCAATGGTTCCTGAATCATGCTCTGGAATCGACCCAGTTTTGTGATCCATGAAGGTTAGGTCAACTTAATGTTGATTCCTGCCCCGATGGGTGGAGGTTTGTGTGCATTTTTGGTGTAAGATTCCATGGTCTTATTTTGCTCCTAGGGTTTCTCAATGGTTCCGACTGGAGCTTGTCCCACCTTCCATGGAAATGTTCGATCTCCAAAAATGGGAGCTTCCATAGATATGGCTACCCCATTTATCATCCTAATGTTACTAGGATTCTCCATGAAATAAACCATACAATTAGGGGTACCCCCCATTTTCAGACGAAGCCATATAGTGTGTATACATAAATATATACATGTTTTTACATATATATATGTGTGTAGATAGATACAAGTTTCTTTATCGCTCGCTAACCTCTGGTAATTTCGTTTGTTAATCCGGCAATGGAAACCCCAAATCGGCCCGAGGAAGTTTGGTCAGAGGGGCGCGGAAGAGAGGCTTCGCTCCATGGACCTCCCCAAGATCGAGCTCACCGAAGAACAACGCGCAATGTTCAACACGGTGAAGGAGCAGCGATCCGTTGAAACGACGAGTAGTTTTTTGTGAAAGGCTGAAGCTGGCTATTTAATGCTATTATTTATGTATATTTTATATATATATAAGTATTATGTATATATATATTAAGTATATGGTACAGGATGGGGCCTCCAAGATAGCTAAGTTGCCTTATGTTTATGGTAGATAACTACAGTTAATGGGGGTTATAATGGTATATAAATCAACTTATAACTGGGGGCCCCATTCTGTATAATTTATTTATCCATTGTATATATATATATATGTGTGTGTGTGTGACCTGATTTTCACTCGTTGCAGATGTGGGCATGAGGCAAAACATTGCAAAACTGGTGAAACCCAAAAATTATGGTTGAATACCAGCACTCCCATCCTTTCGGTCACCGAAACCTGGAAGTGTTGACCCACGTGTTGACCCAAAGCCATGTGGCACCAGCATTTTCAGGCCCACTTTCATTGCAAACCATCATTGAACCATAAACCATACTAGTACCCCAAAAAGGCTCAATCGCCCCACCCTGACAGCGTTTCTTGCGGAGTGGAGATCTCAAGTCCTTTGTGGCCTTGCTCATTCTCAAGAATGATCCCTTTATTTACTCTGCAAATGGTCCAATTATGTCCAATTCAGAAACGATGTATAGAAAAAATTGGGTATGATATGGTATGATATGATATTATGGCGAAAAGATTTAGCAATAGTCATTAAGCCGCTGCAACAAGACCTCTGTCATTAGCCTGGATGACCCTCCCAGGCATTGCTTTGGTAACATTCCATGGTCACCAAGTCCGCCATTCCTAGGATTGTTTCAATTTGTGTCTTTGGCTTCTATAAGTTATATGATATATATATAATATATAATATATATGATATATAAGATATATAAGACATATAAGATATATAAGATAAATAAATTATACTTAATAACATGTTCGATCCAGCCCGGGCGCGCCCACCAGTTCTCTCCAGAAGGGATCAAATCCGCCACCCACTCTGAACAATATATTGTATGGGAAAATCTGGATAATCCTGCATAATCCATACATTCACATACATGTTTACCTACATGTTTACATGTGGAAATACGCTTAAGCCTTCCACAACGTTGGGGGCTCCCTGGGAGGACTGCATCTATGACTCGCACTGGGAAGGTGCCTTGGAAGTCTACCAGAAAATCCCGGAGGAGGCGCTGAGTGGGCGGAAGTCATGACTTCCGGAAGCCATGGGAAGGTCCAGTGGAAGCCAGATTTTATGATATTTTAATATTATTTTAATGCTATTCTATAGTGGTTTATACAATGGGATATTCATGGGATATTAATGGATATTTATGTTTTATTCATTGATGTTAGTGGATATTAATGGGATGTGAATGGGATATCGCCTCCGGTGTCATCCAACATGGCTTGCTGGAAAATCTCCCATTCATAGATGTTTTCCCATCAAAAATGAACATGTCGTTCGGGGATTTTCTATTGCCATGTTTGATTTCCAGATGGTACCCTCTGGTAAACTAACATAATGATGGAAAAACACCATTTTCAATGGGTAAATCCACTATAAATGGCCATTTTCAATAGCTATGTTAAATTACCAGAGGGTATCATTTTTTTTGTGAGGACCGGATTGAAAAAATGAGAACAAAACTGACCGATAGAGGTGGAGCATTTCGAGCAGTAAGCCACGATGTGTGATGCTGATGTTCCTTCTCCCTTTGGGATCTATGGGGGACATTCATGCATAAAATATTGAATTTACTTAAAAATTATGTATAACATTATACATTATATATATATATATTTATATTTATATTTATACACATGTGCACACAGATTTACATATTTAATACCTGTGAATATATACATATATATATATGTGTGTGTGTGTTTGTAATATGTAGTAGGTGAAATTTGATATGTAATATATTGTAATATGAAGTATGTGATATGTATATGTATAGATGTTAATGTATGTCCTTGCTCCAGTCTTCCTTGTGTTCGGCAAAACTGGATGCCCTCAGATCGATAGCAGCTGGCAGCCTGTGATGCGGGTCATCCTCAACTGCTTTTGCAAGTCCTTGAGGCACCGTGAGGCTGCAATGGTCTTTGAACGTTTCTGTCCTGAAGGGCTGGATGACGGGTGTGTGGTTTTCGCTGGTTTTCTCCGGAAAGCAGATCAACCACCCAGGAAATCTCTTAAGCAGGTCAACTCTTAACAGGAAGTCAACAAACCACCCAGAAGGGAATGTTTTTAGGAAAGCCTCATCAGAATTTGTAAAAACCAGGTGGTTCCTGCAAACTGTCCCTTGAATCAGCCCATTGATTCTGGCTGGTGGTTAAAATATGTTAAGATGGTGTTGATTTTATTTCCCATATTTAGGATCATTTTCACCTCTATGACTTTCCTATACTTTTCGGGTCGAAGCCAGCAATCAGGTTTTCCCGGACGAGACACCTTGGCATACAACATGTACTTGAACTTGCTGGCTCGCTTGAGGTATTTCGGAGGCATAGTATTTCCATACTCGGGAAATCGGAATTGAAACCGTCAAGCAGCTATAGGCGACAGATGTTCAAAATCACAGACACTGTCATGTACAAGTATATAATGTGGGTAAAACAACAAAAAAACAACCATTTGGGAATGGTTTATACCACCAATTTTTGGTGTTTTTGGGGATGGTTTATTGTTGTTTTACCCACATTATGTTCTTTGACTGGTTTTCCTAGATGCCGAATGATGGTCATTGCTGTGTTGAGCCCTGAGTGGTCGGACAGCGTGTTGCCGCTTCAGCATGCTGGGACACCATGGCGTGCCGAGGCACACACGCGATTTCGACAAAGTCTTGCAAAGGATGGAGGAAGAGAATATTCCTCAATCCTCAGTGGCTGGCTGTTTGGTGGTTTGGGGCACTTAAAATAAGTACTTTCAGTGACCCAAACTGGATCCCTCAGGAAAAATCTGAAAAAAGGAGCCCAAAATGAACAGATCACCGACCAGCGCCTTTGCCTCCATTTGAGGTGACCATTTGTGCTATCATGAGCATGTGCAAAGAGACCAACGACTGGCAACAGGTGGGGTCAGTCCCTGGTGCTGTCAATGGCCTATCAAGATTCCTCAGGTTAAGTACGTCCCTACGTACGTACATACATACTCATACATGCACTACGTTACATTACATTGCATTACATTACATTGCATTACATTACATCATAGTATGTTTAATTACATCACATTACGTTACATACATACATGCATGCATGCATACATACATACATACATGCATACATGCATGCATGCATACATACATACATACACACATATACATACACACCCATACATTCACACCCATACATTCACACACAGACACACACACAGACACACACACAGACACACACACAGACACACAGACACACAGACATACAGACAGACAGACATACATACATTGTGATACATACATTGTGATACATGCATACATACATACATACATACCATACATTACATTACATTACATTACATGTCATTACATTACGTTACATACATACATACATTGTGATACACTGTGATATATACATACATACATACATACATACAGACAGACCGACCGACCGACCGACAGACGTACAGACGTACAGACGTACAGACGTACAGACGTACAGACCTACAGACCTACAGACCTACAGACCTACAGACCTACATACAGACATACAGACATACAGACATACAGACATACACACATACACACATGCACACATGCACACATGCACACATGCATACATGCATACATGCATACATGCATACATGCATACATGCATACATGCATACATGCATACACACACATACATATACATACATATACATACATACATACACATATACATACATATACATACATATACATACATATACATACATATACATACATACATACATTCATACATACATATACATACATATACATACATATACATACATATACATACATATACATACATTTACATACATATACATACATATACATACATATACATACATATACATACATATACATACATATACATACATATACATACATATACATACATATACATACATATACATACATATACATACATATACATACATATACATACATATACATGCATATACATGCATATACATGCATATACATACATATACATATACATACATATACATACATATACATACATATACATACATACATACATATACATACATATACATACATATACATACATACATACATACATACATACATATACATACATACATACATATACATGCATATACATGCATATACATACATATGCATACATATACATACATATACATACATACATACATATACATACATATACATACATACATACATACATACATACATACATACATATACATACATATACATACATATACATGCATATACATGCATATACATACATATGCATACATATACATACATATACATACATATACATACATACCTACGTATGTACGTACGTAGCAACATTTAGCATTACATAGCATTACAGATTATTACATAGCATTACATAGCATTACATACATTGCATTACATACATACATACATAGCATAGCATTGCATTGCATTGCATAGCAAAGCACAGCGCAGCATAGCATAGCATATGATAGCATAGCATAGCATGGGATAGCATAGGATACATAGCATACATAACATACATTACAGACATTTCAGACATTACAGACGTTACATACATTCCGTTACATTCCGTTACATTCCACACAGTACACACATTACATTAATTACAGACATTGCACACATTACAAACATTCCATAAAGTGCATACATTGCATGCATTTCATGCATTGCATACATTTCATGGATAGAGACATAGAGGCATAGATACATAGAGACATAGAGACATAGAGTCATAGATGCATAGATAGATGCATGCGTGCATACATATGTATATATATATATATACAGTATAAATATTTTTGCGTATCTATTATATCCGCGATGTGCGTCCTAAACGGCAGGCCTTGCAGCTCCTGGAGGGGCTGAAGTCGGACACTGATGCAGATTCCTCCATTGAAGTTCCCTACTTGCTAGCCATGACTGCCTGCGCGCGGGCCCGCGCCAAAGACAAAGTCAATGAGCTTTTTCAGGAGGGCAAGCGGAACGCCAATTTCCGAGTGAAATGAACCTCGCCTGATGGAGGAACCCCTCGCCCATGGGGGAAGTTTTGTCGGACAAAGCCCTGTTTGATTAGTATGGGACCATGCCATTGATAGTTGGATTGCCATCACTGTTTCTTATTTTCTCCCGGGGCACCTCGAGGGAAATGAATGAATTCTGGTCAAGATAAGATTTGGGTTTGATGGCAAATGATCCTCTACTTGAGGATGGCAGGATGGCCAAGTATATACAAGTATAACATGGCCCTTGCAGGAAAACCTTTGGCAACCGGGTGGCAGGGGGGCCACTGAGGTAGTCATTACAACACCCTGATCGTCGCTTGTGGAACTGATGCTGCAGCTGCTAGAGAGGTCTTTGATCAGATGAAGGCCGAAGGTTTCGAACCCTCAGGCGGGGGGAACGGGACTCAGTCAAGTGGATGGAGCTTGGGAATGATGTTGTGTCTCGAAAAGCAACCCTGAACAACAGAAGGTTTGTTTCAATTTTGAAACGCTCGACACTGAGTGACCTTGAGCTTGCTCGACAGGGCTTCTAATTTTTGAGACATGCCCAGCTGCTCGTATTTCACTTCTTAGTCATGCACGTGTAAAAAAATGAACATGTTTGTGTGAGAATTCAAATACAATGGATTTCTGAGTTCACTCAGATTTGACCTAAAAGTACTTTGTAGTGAATTTGTGGGTTCCAAGGTCAATGTTCTGAAATCAGCTGGGCTTGACCCCTGAAGAACTTTGTAGTGTTTCTTGGGGAATCTTTTTGAGATGCCACTGATCTTGAAGACTTCAGTGGGATCTACTTAAAAGTCACTACAAACATCTACGTGATTTTTGAAGGGTCTCTTGAAGACCTCTTGTCTTTGTAGTGAGCTTTTATCCAGGCTGGGGTTGCACTTTTGTAGTGATTTTTTTTTTGGCCTGGGCATGGAAAACGTAGTGATTGGGGTTGGGCAGAGCAAGTTTACAGCTACAAAATCTGGACCCAACAGTCCCCCCCAAATATCAACCCCGATACATATATATATATACATATGTATGTGCATATGCATATGTAAATATATGCATATGTATCTGAATATGTATATATGTCTATGCATATGTATACATATATATATATATAATATTATATATGTGTGTGTGAGTGTGTATTTGTATATGTATATGGATATGTATATCTATTTTTATATGCATATGCATATGCATATGCATATGCATATGTATGTGTATCTGAATATGTATATGGATATGTATATGTATGCAAGCGTGTGTAAAGGCAACATAAGGTGTGCTGACCGTAATGTCTGTCATTTCGGGCCAACTCCAGCAGGTTCGGACTGGAGAGCGTTGCTGTCGTCCCACCGTGAGGATCTTCAGGCGCGGCGTACAGTCCTAGGTCCTGGGGTTTATGGGGAATAGATGGGAATAGTAGATTCTATAGTTTGATGATGTTTGATGGGTTACCAACCAACTTCTACCATAACTCTGGAAAATCATCAGCTATAAACCCAAGAATGATGGGATTTAACCCCAAAATAACAGGAACACTATGGGGATTTAAGCAACTAAATATAGATAGAGTGTGGATGATAATGCGGGATTCACCCAATGCCATAAACCAACCATTTGGGGATCGTTTATACCACCCATTTATGGTCAGGGGACGGCTCAGATTCGCATAGCCATCCGTAGCCGGCCAGGGACAGCGTGGCGTCTACAACGAGATGCGCGAGGTCAGCCCATCCGAAGCTCTGGAGGAAGCCTGGGCGATTCTCCTGCGCAGTGCGATCCAGGAGGATAACTCTGAAGCGGTGAACTGGGTCGCGGGGCCGCAGGGAGGAAGGCCATGATGCGTTTCTCTCTCCTTTGAATCACTATTCGGATGAACGGAAATGAACAGAATTCCCAGCCAAGAAACCCTTAAGCCTCATGATTGGTGGTAAAAAGCATGGTTTCCTGATGTTTCCTGCAGATGTTCCCTGAAACAAATCCAGTGAGATGTAATTATTGGGTAGACCCTTGCGGAATCTGGCGGAATGGTAGGTTGATGGGTTGATAGGGGATGTTCCGATTAAAGCCTCCATTTATTATAGGGGATGTCCAATTGCATTATTTTGATTACCGAATGGTACATAATATATGTATGTTGATATACCAAGCCTAAGGAATGCCATTCCGAAATGGGATGACCATTCCACAATCATACTGCGTTTTTTACCATGTTTTTTTTAAACCATGTCAAGCATGTCTTAGGCATTCGTTTGCCATAAACAGGAACATGCCTTAGTCGTGCCATAAGTAAATTCGTTTGCAGGTTCTATGGATGCTGTGCTGTGCCTTGTGCGCCTTAAGGCTGTGGAAGAGATGAGCCGCAACGGCTGCAGCTTGGACTCGGAGCACGCTGCCAGGGTTCCTTCCTTGCGCCGCGCCGTGGCGCAGCTGAGTGAGTGGCAGCAGCTCCGACCGCAGGAATCTGCAGAATCCCAGGCTGCGCCGGCGGAGGCTGCGTTGCCAGATGGCTGGCAATCCACCTTGGATCCCAGTAGCGGCCAAAGATATTATTGGCACGTGGGAGATCCTGCCGGCACAACCACCTGGGAAAGGCCCAGCTAAGAGAGCCACAGGGAGACGTATGGAAAAGGGTGAGGGGAGGATGAGAATTTCTCGTGTAATTGCAGGTTTTGGGGACTGGCATCGGGGGTTGTCAAGATTCCGCGCATAACCACACAAATGGGCCAATCGGGAACTTGCGAAGCATCTATCGACAGCTTGTGCCAATCAACTATTATATATATAATTAGCGCGGTTACCGCCACCGCCTTCGACTTTTTTGTCACTTGCCTGTTTGGTTTCTTAAGTTGTTTATTCTTGATGATTCTTGATTGTTCATGCCCATTCCTATTCCTATGTATATATACTATATTTCATAATCTCAAGGCACGCAACATCCAAGCCATTCTCTCAGTAGAGCGGTGCCCTCTTGGCGCAATGCCACGCAATGCCGGGCTCAGGAAAGTCTCTTCAGATCTTTGGTGTCAGATTCGCCAGTTCTGCAAGGCTAAGGCGGTCTCGCAGATGGTCAGTGAGAAGGAACGCCTCTGGCCGCGCGCCTGCGACGTTTCGTGTCGTCGTGGCGTGATGTTGGGATATGGTTGGACCCCGGAAAGTGATAGAGAAGTGAGGTGTGACGAAATGATATATATATATAAGATAATGATGTTACATCTGTGACTTTCAGAAATTTCTTATCGGCCTTCTGGGGGTAGGTTGAAAGCACTGACGGTTCTTTTTTAGGGACTACAGCTGCCGCAGCTGCCAGTTCTAGGCCAACCGCGGCCCCAGCGGGTGAAAATCCCCCGTAGATGATGATGTGTTTTGTGGCACCTCGGTCGGGTACCTGGAACCGAGGAGCTACAATCAGAGTTTCCCGTTTCCACATGTTTGTTGGTTAGCATGGAATGAAAATGATATCAGCACTTTGTAGCTAGTAGTCATAGTCGTAATCGCAATAAGAATGTTAGCATACTCGGACGTGCTTCTCCAGATATATAATTAATAAGTGGATATATAAATATTATTTATATATACCTTATATAACTATAGTTATTGGGCTTGTATCCCAACTTATGGGGGTCCAGTTTACATGTCACAACCCTCAACTGCACCATTTTTCGCGGTGCTCCCGCGACTTGATCCTTCCATTTGGTGCAGGAAATCGCTGTGCTGAATGACATCCCGGAGAGCTTGCGCATCATGCTGCACGAGGAGAATACCCCCCCTATTGGGGGTTTATTCACCATCTCTTGAGGGATAGATGTTATGGGAAATTCCATGGAATCGGAGAACAGGGTAGGTCTTTGGGGTGTATTAACTGCCAACAACAAAGTGAACCTCAGGAGGTATCTTAGCCATCTATTGGGTGGTCATCTTTAGGGGGTGTAGTTGAAAGCAGTAAAGATGGGATGTACCCTTCGGTAATCAAACATGGCAATGGGAAATCGCCCAAAGGGTGCATTGAAACGGGAAAAATATCAATAAATGCAGGGGGATTATCCCTTGCCATGTTTGGTTGCCAGAGGGTGAGTATCATACAAATAGCACGCATGGAGCTATAAGGAACAAATGCGGAGATGTAACCATAAAACCCCAGCAGTACCAGCGAGAGAGACGGCGGCACTGTTAAAGTCCACCATTCCATACCCAGATCATCGCAGATCTTCCCAGATCTTTGAAACAATTGGGTTGACTAAAGGGAAAAATGTTGAGGACCCCCATTTCTTCCATATGTTGTTATAAATATATATATATACATTATTTGTCATAAATTGTTCCATTCGATAGAAAAACCTAAAATGGATTCGAGGTTTGAAGCTCCCCTTCTTGAGGAGCTTTATCAAGACATCGTCTTGGGTTCGCACATCCTCTCAGGAATTCAGGTTCGGATGGATGTGCCGTTTTTGTGTTTGAGGATTGGGAAACCAAAAGTTCACAGCATAGATCAAAAGCAATGGCACCACAGTCTTCATCAACAGATATCAACAGGTTTTCAAAACTGGTTTTATGACTTGTTGTGCCATCATGGACATCATGCAATTCTAAAAAATCTCCGATTCTAAGAGGATCGAAACATGACCAGATATGACCAGCCATCAAGCCGGTCTTGTAGCTGGAGTACCCGTTGATGGTCCCAGTTGGAGGGACTTCCTCTGCTTTTTGGCTGCCACCTGCCAATTCTGTGGTAAAGCCAATAACACAAACCTTCAATTGTGGGAGAGTTTATACATGTTTATAGCATTTTATGCATATTTCTGGTGAAATTCAGAGGGATTGTTTAATGTTGGGTTTAAGTTTACCACATTACTTGGTGCTTTTTATGGGAGGTACCACCCCTGGAGGACGTAGCGAATTGTTGTCGTGTTTTTTGCAACTTATCCTCAACTTTCTTGGGGACTCTGTGCTGATGTGCACGTCAGCCAAAGCACCTGGGGGGTGGGGGGCTACTAACATTCCCTTGCGCCTGACCACATCACGGATGCACGGTGCCTCCAAAGGGTTGACCCCTCCATTCCCACCATCTATCTCTGTTTGTCAGCCTGCCTGTTTATCACATCTATTTGTTTGCCTACCTATCTAACTACTTACTTCTTTGTTTCTTTGTTTCGGTGTTTCTTGTTTCTTTGTTTGCTTGTTTGTTTGCTTGTTTGTCTATCTATCTTTCCATCTAACCTAATCTATATAATCTTATCGTGTATTATTAATCTAATTGCTATCTTATCTTATCTTAATTCTGATCTTATCTTAACTTATTTTATCTGATCGATTTATCTATCTGTCTATCCATCCATCCATCCATCCATCCATCTATCTATCTATCTATCTATTTATCTATTATGATCCAAACTTACGTAAAATCATCTTATCTAATCTAGTGTAACCTAATCTAACCTTTATCTCAATTGCAAACTCATCTAATCTAATCTATACAGACCAGTCTAATCTAATCAAATTTTAGTTTTATCAATCCAATTTACTCCAATCTAGTCTATATAATCTGATCTGATCTAATCTACTCTTTATCTTAATCTCAATCTCAACCTAATCTAATCTAGTTTTAATCTTATCTAACCGAATGTAATCTAATCCAATGCCAATGTATCTATCACAATGTCACAGATTTGAAGTTTAAACCACCACGCCAGAAAGATGTTACTTCCAGCCCTTCTAGCCGCCTGCCCCTAATAAGAATCATGCCCAAACAAGGAACAAACTCATCAAACTCAATAGGAGACCAGAGTTCTGGGAGAACGCTATCATTGCCAATGGATTTTTATATTCGGCTTTGATGGTTTATAGTTTTAGCTATAGTTTACCCACACTATAACTACTATTCAGTAACAAATTAATACAATTGACTATAGCTTATGGGATTCGATAGTGAACCACCACACTTTTGATGGATCGCCTGAAGATCCATGAGCAAATGGGGGGATGCATCATGATTTTGCAATCAAAGATGGCATCCATTTGCAAATAATTGCATAATATGTTTTTCATAAAATGGGCTAGCGCCCAGGTGCCGCCGACCCCCCTAATTGGAGGGGGGGTACTGTAGAGAGACAGAGGGAGACGGACAGCAAGACAGACATATGGGGTACCTTTTCCCTGCGGAGCTGGGCGGACCTTTGGAGGGTTTGGAGCGTTTGAGGCCTGGCAAACGGCAGCCTTGAACGCCTATAAGAAGCCATTGCTGCGGCCGGGGGGTGCCCTTCAGCCATTGCTGTGGCCTTGTGGTGGCTTTTGCGTGCGGGAGTGGCGCGTGTTGGGCTTGTTGGGGTACCTTTTCCCTGCGGAGCTGGGCGGACCTTTGGAGGGTTTGGAGCGTTTGAGGCCTGGCAAACGGCAGCCTTGAACGCCTATAAGAGGCCCTTATAGCCATTGCTGCGGCCGGGGGGTGCCCTTGAGCCATTGCTGTGGCCTTGTGGTGGCTTTTGCCTGCGGGCGTGGCGCGTGTTGAGCTTGTTGGGGTACCTTTTCCCTGCGGAGCTGGGCGGACTTTTGGAGGGTTTGGAGGGTTTGAGGCCTGGCAAACGGCAGCCTTGAACGCCTATAAGAAGGCATTGCTGCGGTTGTGGGGTGCCCTTCAGCCATTGCTGTGGCCTTGTGGTGGCTTTTGCGTGCGGGCGTGGCGCGTGTTGGGCTTATTGGGGTACCTTTTCCCTGCGGAGTTGGGCAAACTTTTGGAGGAGTTGGAAGGTTTGGAGGGTTTGAGGCCTGGCAAACGGCAGCCTTGAACGCCTATAAAAGAAGCCATTGCTGCGGCCGTGGGGTGCTCTTGAGCCATTGCTGTGGCCTTGTGGTGGCTTTTGCCTGCAGCGTTGGGCGTGGCAAGGGTTCAAGAAAGACAGGATCCACACCTCCGGTGGTCCCAGGCGCCGTCCCGGCCTTGGCGAAGGCCGGGGTCGGCGGATATTGATATGATTGTTTCTATCTATCTATGTGTATATAATATATATATCTCTCTCTCTTGGATTATTGTTAATCATATCTTTATATATATACAAATTAAATATATTTGATCTTAATGTTCATCCATTGCATTCGTTCATTTTGGATTTATATCTGTAAAGCCACCAGGTAGGGGACGACATTTCCCAAGCCGTCAAGCACTTCTGCCATTTTTGCTTCAGCGAAGAGGTCCGATGGTGAGATGCGGAAGCAAACGATAAAGGGCGGTTTTCCAATGAAACGAATGAGGTGGTAGCTTGGATGTTCGTCCCACTTAGTAAGTCGCTAGTAAGTAGTCGCTAGTAAGTCGTTTATAACTTATAACTTGGCTTGACCCATAGTTGTGCCTTGGTTGTCTCCTTGGTAAATGCCTGAGATGACTATGAAGTAAGGCTGTGGGTTGAACATGGACCAAGGCAAACGAAGCCAGCAATCCACATCGGAAAATAGATGTGGTCATTAAGGGGATGATAATAGCAATCCCGGTAGCAAACCATTTGGGGTCCTTCTACTTCATAGCGGCGGTTGGGGATGGTTGGGTCAGAAACCTTTGAGAAAAGGGGCACTTTGAAGGTGATCATGACATATCATGACATTTTATGTCACACACACACCATGGAAAATCATCATTATGATTGCTTTTATACCTCCATTTTGTTGCTTAAGACCCGTAATATTACTTTCATTTATATCCCCAAATCATGTGCTTAGATATCATAGTGTTTAAAAAAAACATGAAAAGCAATGTCCTCTTTCATTGGTGGATTATTGAGGAAAAAAACAATCCCTTATCATATAAATGGAGGTTTTAATGGGAACATCATCTATAGATTCTGGGTCTTCAGCACGCCATGTTTGATTACCAGACGGGTGTACGTATCCAATTCTCCAATTCCCATGAATTCCATTGGTTTTACCCCACCCCATGTTTTTTTTTCATCGGGACGTGCTGCGGCAGATCTTCTCGGCCAAGCTGGACATCTTCATGGACGGAACGGAGGCGCAGCGGGTCTATGTGTCCCGTGCCTTGGCTATGATGGTTTCGGGGGTTAGGAAGCTTCTATATTAATGTAGGGATGATTTATGGTGATAGATAGATATGATACGATTTGATACGATATTATATGATATATATATATATGGATGTTCTATACATATAGATAGATCATATGTTTAGCATCATGGATGCTATCATGTTTTTTGTGTATGCTACTAATTTCATGGCAGCAATGTGTAGATATTTAGAGAACATCGTGGATACAATGGGAGTTGGGAATCATATGATAATTGGAACTGTACCCTCCGGTACTTGAGCATAGATATGCAAAACGGCCCGTTTCGTTCGATGATTTACGTATTGAATACGCTTATTTTCCATAGCTATGTTAAATTTACCGGAGGGTACATATACATACAGCACACTGTGATAATCATGGGAATATCATGGATATGATGGGATTTGATGGGATTGTTTGCTGCAATATTTATGGATGTGGTAACTGAAAATGTGCGATGGCACGGGGGTAACCCGAATTTTTGGCAATGTAAATGGGGAGAATGATATAATATAGGAAAGAAATATGTTATCATTATTTTGGGATTGGATTTTACTTTTCTATCTCAAACGAACCATAAATGTCTATAAATATCCACAGATGGTTGTGCATCAAATTGGTGAAAATCCCAACAGTATTGGCAACTTCAATGGGAAAATGAGGCGTTCAATCATCAAATGTGGGAGTAGCCCCATATACATATTATACATTTATATATAAATATATATAAATAGATACATATATATATAATTATATATATTATGTATGTGCAGGTATGTATATATATATATATATGCAGGTGTGTATATATATATATATATGCATATTCTAACTTTCCGGTATATTGAAATGACTGAAAAGTCCGGAAATTTGAGGGCGGCCCCACAGGGGGTATCCGGGGCCCAAGGAGGCGGGAAGTGCATCTATTGGAGCATTCTCCTTCCTAAGAGTGGTGTGCTGAGCGGGCACCGTTCTGGGAACCGTTTTGGGAACCATGACTTGGACAGGTGGAGGATGCAATCAGCAGGGATTTATATAACCAAGTTGTTGGAAGAAAAAGGAAAAATGAGTTTCCAAAAGTAGGTGTTTGATGCTTTCACGTGCTCCCGTGGCACTTAAGCTAAATCGAAGGTGCCTCATCCATGTTTGAAACCTGACAATGCCATCGACTCATGGCTGTTCGGCCTCAGTAAGCACACCCATTCCTTCCAAAAGCCATTCTGAGATCGTCAGACGTTGGAAGGAACCAACTGGTTGCAACTTGGCGGACCGTGTCCGTGGGAAAATGCAGCTGCCAGGGGGGGGGCAAGTCCGTTGTAATCATGACTTAGAACTATGACCATTATGACCCCCCAAGCTTAGCCACAACTCTATCCTCTGGTGAATGGAATATTCATGTAATATCATGTAATATTAGTAGGATATTACTGGGATATTGGTTAATCCTTCGGTCATCAAACATGGCTAGCTGGGACATCCCCATCAAAAACGGAGGATTTTCAGCATGGTTGATTGCTGGAAGGTAATGTTCAAGGAATAGATCCTGCACAAAAGAAAAAATAAGGGGGCGAAGAAGATTCCCTTGAAATGGAATACGGCTTTAAAAACTCATTGCCCCAATTTGGGGGGCCCCAAAGTGAAAGATCCAGAACTAAACCAAATTTTCTTGGTGGTATTTAATATTAATTTAGGGGGATGGGATGTGTGGCAAGCCCAATGCCATAAACCATCAAGACTTTGGCAAAAGGCGTTCCAGTGACACATGAGATGGTAAACCGAACCAACATAAACCAACCCAGTCACCCTGCATCATTGGGGATCATCAATGTGGACAAATATGACAATCGGATTAACCACGACCGGTGTCAGTTTTACATCATCCCATTACTAGGGGCATACAGTATACCCTGCTACAGCAAAGACAGCTCAGGGAGGTTGGTTTATGGCCTGGGGGTTGCAACATTCATTGCAAGGTAATCTTATTGCTTTGGTGATTTCTTGCTAAGAAATTGACTTTGAGTGGCTTATGTGGTAAACCCACCTACAGCATGGAATTTATTTATCCAGAAATAGGATCCTTCTGGGATAATCATGGCAACATAGTGGAGGTAATAGTACTTAATGCCCCGATAGCAGAGGTAACGTTAGACGTGAACAAGGGAATTTATATGCTCAGATACCATGTTTTTTCAGGGTATTTCATTGGATGGGTTTGCTGATTTCCCCAAAATATTAAGTGGGATAACAGCATAACATGTATCAAATGAAGAATGCTGGTGCTGACATAGGACATAGAAAGATCTTGGATTCTATTTGACTTCCAGAACAGCTCTATATAGTCGATAGATGAGTCAAGTTTCATCCCTCCAAGCGTCAGCCATGATGACACCAGAGGCTACAGGGAAAGGATGGAGATCTCGCCATCGCCACCAGGTCCGAGCTCGCCTTGTGGGCCAAATGGCACCATCGCGGTCAGCTGGTGGCCGAAACCACTACACGTTCCTGAGAAAGCCGATGGTTATCTAATCGGACCAAAAAATGGGGAGATGGCTTGAAATATCTTAATATCTTAATATCTCCAAAATATCTCCATTAATGTTATATCTCCAAATGATAAATATATTTCATATATCTCCAAATAATGTTATAATCATGTCATTAAGATATTTTGGAGATATATGAAAGTAACATGTTCCATAGATTTTGGTTGATTGTACTGGTTCTACGCTCCCATTCTTTTGGCTAATCAATATATCAATATGGTTGGCTCGATACCCCTATGGCAACATGAACCACATTATGGAACATATACAATTATATTTACATATATACATAATCTGGGTGAATTTGATCATGGCCTCATATCGTATGTCACTTGATGGGAATGGATGCGGCGATTCATCCCGAAATGGCTCTATGATAGCCAGATACAGTGGGGATATCATGGGGAATGGGGATAATGGGATTCGAACAAAAAAGATGTTCCAAAGGAGATGGAATGGGATATAATTAAGACATGTCGGGATAGAGTACAATGACCTCACTGCGACGTCGCTGATGGGAATTGTAACGGATGACTGTCTTAAAGTTACCGAACGAAAATCAACACGTAAAATTACCCGCGCACACGCCTGCCGTAGCAAGACTACCGACCCCGAAAGGATAAACAATCTGAAAGTGCTTGTATATGTCTCTACTATATCATCTATATCCCTATTATTCTGGATTATGGGTTGATGATGGCTTAGGAATGCTAAGGTGGTACACCCAAACATAAAACCATCCCCAAATTGTGGGTTTATGGCATTGGGTTGCCCACATTATTGGATGATCACAACCGCAATGCTTTTTCTGGGGATAGTTTTATGCTGGTTATTGGACTATCCATCATCTGTTGCACAGCAAGTTGGGTATGTTAATGTATCAGCGCATGAATTGCAATTCGGGCTAACTATGCTTATAATTACTATCACGTAATTTTGGGCGTCATCTATCATGTGTTTTTCTTGTTATGGGATGTTATGGGCCTATGTATGAATTGCAAATCCAATCACAAAACCGCTCCAGGTTTTATGACCTTGGATCCTAAGAGCTTCGCTACCATCGCGGCGAGCGAAGGAGGTGCCCAAGACTTCTGACGCACAAATTGACCAACACACAAAAACTGAGAGAAATTCGTTGTTATGTTGTTATTTAACTAGAGAAAATGAGGAGTTGCTCTCAAATTTTATGATTGAATTCGATTTAAATACGACAAGATTGGGATTTACCATGAAAGTTTATTAAAGTTTATGACTTTGGGGGACTTAACCAGCAAAAATTGGCATCTCACCCTCGAAATGGGACTTAGAAAATGACATGTGGATGCTGCGCTGGTGAAGGTGGGGATGTGCAAAAAATGGTAGTCTATTAATCTTAGTTTATTTCATCTGTGCAGGGTATCTAAGATGAACCATGAACAAGAAAGAGTAGATGTCCCATAAAATCTGAGAGATGCACCAAGTCATCATTTCGGAGGAGTGAAACCGGCTGCGGAGACCATCGGTGTCGTCAGCATGGCTTTACTAACACGGAGTCTAATGACTTGGATGCTTGGGGGATGCCCCATGACTTTGGAAACCTCCATTATATACAATTATAGATAATTATATATATATATATTATGCATATATACATATATATTATACATATATATATATATACACATGTACTATGCACACTGTACACAGCTGCACGCAATGCGTCGGAGGTGCGTTGCACGCCTATCTTCGAACCCTTGGCCTATTACTCATCAGCCACGCCGAAGCTATGGAGGTCCAAGGGTGGGGTCATGTGAAATTCCATGGGGAAATCCTCTGATTTCATGGGATTTTATAGTGATTCAATGCCATATTAATGGGATATACCCTCTAGTAAACATACGAAAAACTATTGAAAATTGCCATGTCTAGTTGATTTACCTATAAAAATGGTGGTTTTCCAGTGTTATGTTAGTTCAGAGGATAGATCCAGTTCAATAAAAGCAATTCAAGATGGTGTGTGAAGTTAGGTTTACCTCAAAATATTTGGATTTGCTGAAAAATTGTGTCTATGTCTTTTCATGGGCGAACTATTAGGGAAATCTAACAGGAACATGTGTTTAAGCCAAAGCCAAAAGCAGTGGATTGATTAATGGCACACATTGGGATACACCAAGAGATGAGAAACACAGGACAACAAGGCACTGGACGTTGAAAACCTTGATATATGTTTATTTATCGAATACTCCTTGCGGTATGTCATTGTCAACCAACTTGGGCAGTAAGTGGGTGTAAGGGTATCTCTCACAAGAGTCATCATGGGTTTTGGAACCCAATTACCCTCTGGTAATTTAACATAGCGATGGAAAATCACAATTTTTAATGGGAAAATCCACTATAAATGGCCATTTTCAATAGCTATGTTAGTTTACCAGAGGGTACTGATCCCAAAAATCCGACTGTTCTCGATGTCCAAGTAGAAAGCCGGGGGCTTGAGGGAATGATCCAAGGTAGAACCACTCATCTGGCGGAAACATAGACATCAAAAAACGATGTTGCTGGTTGGTCTGTTTTTTGAATGAACCGGGGTTTTAGGGGTTGGCTCAATTGGAAGATGCATCTGTGTATTCATATGTAATTATCTATACATGCATGCACAGGTCCTAAAGTATGAATAAACAGCATATTTGATGAAATGTTTCAAACCAGGGATGTCTCTTAGCAGCAGAAGGGGGTAACCAATCAAAGCATCCTGAAAGATGGTGGGCCTTGGTACTCCCATCTCCCTACATACCACCGGATGGGACACCAAAATGAATAGATGCCAAGGGGCTACCAGGATTGGACTGTCAATTCTATAAATATCTATCCTATCATATCCCATCATAATATCCTATTATGGCAGGTTTCTACACCCGCTGGCAATCTAACATAGCTATGGAAAACCACCATTTGTAGTAATTATATAGGTGTGTGATCTACTTTCACGGGCCATTTTCCATAGCTACGTTACATTACCAGACGGGAACCCACAGTTAACAGACCCTCCCGTAAAACTCATATAGATATCGAAAATCCACCCGTTGTCAATCGTTTCCCAGGGAAGAACCATAGTTTTTTGTGTGCTTACTGGAGGGTATTCGTTGAACCAATCATGAATAATATGCATATATATATATATATATATGTGTGTGTGTATATATATATACACACATAAATATATATATATACACATGCGCGCACACACACACATCTACATGTATATTATATATATATATTATCTGTATACCCATACCCCATCATATCCTGGCTCATTCTGGTTGCTTCTTATACCCCCAATATCCATTTCTTAAGGACCATGAGATTCCTCCGGTTGCACCGGGCCAGGAAGATGAAGAGGTCACAGATTTGACCCTGGGGGAACGGCTCATCCGAGCTATGGCCAAGAGGTGTGATGGCCGGATCATGATGGCATATTCCCGTGCAATGTTGCTAAAACAAAAATAAACCACCCATTTGGGAATGGTTTATGTGGTGATTTGGGGGATGGTTTTGTATTGTTTTAATTAACATTAATTAACCACATTATATACATAAATATGTATGTATATATATATACATAAAAATGAGGTGCGGTCAAAATAGGCGTAGACTACTTGAGTAAGGGATGGTCCAGTTATGTTGAGAAAGCGCACCAAACAATGTAAAGCGATAGGGCCCCCCCAAAAAAAAAAGATAAATTGTAACCATATGAGAGTGCATTAAACTTGGTGTAAACCAAGCAAATATTGTTGTGTGCCTTCACGCGATGGGCAAAATTGATGAAGAAAATTCAACCTGCAGTGCCCACGTTTCTTGCAGTTGCCATGCCATTTGTTGTCCAAGGTGACTGAACGGTTGCTTTCTGCAGGCAATTGTTTTTTATCCCAGGTCCCAAAACAGTGGAACTAAACTCAACTAAATGCAACCGAATTCTGAATTAAATTGAAATATATGTTTCAATCTAATTCTGAATTCCGTTTATGTGCTTTACTTTAATTTGAATTTCGTATTCCTTTGTTTCCTTTTCTTTGTTTTTCCCTTTTTTCTGTTATTTGTTCAAGTGTCCTTTTTGTTCCACGTTCCTTTTTCTTTTACTTTCTTGATCATCTAAGTGTTCTAATTTAGCGATCACCTTAGCGATAACCTAGCGATAACCTTTTGTTGAAAAAAGAACTCCGGACGAGGAATAGACTCATGTGATCCCAACAAGAAGAACTCAACAAAAAAGCGAACAGGTTCTCAACCCTAGGCAATCAGCTTGTCTTGAGACTTGGGGAGCCTTAAACACTTCTTCATAGCTACCAACGCCCCTTCATCCATTCCCAGCAGTTTAAGAGGTCTGAATCCGTAAAGCCAATTCCGCTGCATCTTTGCATTATTTAGTGTTGATTTGAACAAAACACTGTAAAGCGATAGGGCCCCAAAAAAAAGCGATAACCTATATTTTCGTACCAAGCATCAACAATTGATTTTGACGGCGGCTCATTCATAAATAAATAAATAAATAAATATATATATATATAGGGTGAAGGCTGGGGCTTCCCCGGAAGCCAATTGCATTTTATTTGTATGGATATGGAAAATGTTGATTTTACACTGTGTTTTACAGTGTTTTATGCTTTTCTCTGAAAGTGTTCGATCAGCCAAAGTTTCAATGTCGGTCCGCGCAGAAAAATGATAAATTTACATCTTCCATGGAAGGCCAAACATGTGTGCAACATTCTAACCATTGGAATTGCGGCTTCATGCATTTTTGGTCGTTTTGTTGATAACTAGAAAATGTCATAATTCACTGGAGAACCATGGACGAAATGAACATCACACTTCACACCTTTTTCATCTTCACGTCCACAAAGGCTTTCTGAAGCAGTTGCTTGGAGCGAGAGCACCATTCGTCTTCTGCAACGTAACAACATCTTCAAGGAAGCAACATCCTCAAGGTTTCCACAACTCTCAATCCAACGCACTCCACATGACGTTATTACACCCCCCCCCACCCCACCCCCCATCTCTATACCATAACGACGTTTATAGTATAGGCTCAAGACTGAGGGTTCCTGGAAGCTCCCGGGAACCCCCAGCCTGGAGCCTATCTATCTATATATATATATATACACACACATTGTGTGTGTGTATCTATACACAATGCAAATTTCTTTGGTTATCAACCTTGTTTATTCCTGTTGATTTGTTGGTTCATTCACTTGTCCATCGTTTTAAAGATGCATTTTCTTTTTGTAGGGATAACAGGCGAAAAAGAAGTACAATCAGGTCTGAGTGCGTGAGTGTGTGAGAAAGAGAGAGGCAAGGGCACACAGCCCTGAAGACATATATGACCAGGTGTGCAGTCACAAGTATGCTCGCTATCGATTTTATTCATTTGTTATCATCGATTATCATCTATCTCACCATTCATGTCTTCACCAAAGTATCAGTGGTTTTTTCCAAATAGATCCTGATATCTATCTCTTCCTCTATAAATAATATATATATATATACACATATATTCATACGCATTTTGCGGGCATAAAAGCTGCACATCCCCAGCCTTTCCATCACTTTTTGATCCCAAACGCGCCTTGAGGTCCTACGGATTCTTGAGCTTCGGCTCAGGAGGTCGCACAGACAAGTCCATAAGGCTGGCTTCCGGGGGCTCCCCAGTTGTTGGCTGATGTTGGTTAAACCACTTGAAAAATAGATTGGATAATAAATGTTGTTCACATGTTATAACATGGGGTGTTTGATCTAGTTAAACATTACCAGAAACATCCAGAAACCGTTTGATAGCAATTACCAAGTACCAATTGTTGATTAACAATAGTTATAAGTACCAAAAAGCCAGGATTATTGGAGTTATAAATGTCATACGCCAACTTACTTTCTAGGGGGATGATGGTTTTGGAATAGATATTGTGTGCATGTAAAACCCATCCCTCTAACTTTTAACACCCCCATTTTTTCAAATATGCGTAACTCCCTTTCAGCCATCTCTTTCTGGTGTTTACTATTTATATAACCCCATAAATAAATAAATAAATAAATAAATAGATATAAATATATATATATATAGATAGATAGATAAATGTGTATATATATATGTGTGTATGTATATCTATCTATCTATCTATCTATCTATCTATCTAT